TGACAGGTTTCTGGACCTGCAGCAAAGGAACTCATTAACGGAGAGACCAGGAAACGTTTGGAATCTCCTTGGGGAATACGGGAAAGTTGGGGCTTTGCTCAAGCAGATGCTGAGAGCTGGATGGAGCTGGATAGATTCTATGAAGGAGAAGACTCACTATGTTGGGGTTGAGGGGAAAGATCACAATTTCAGACACTTAGAAGGCATTCCAGGACTTCCCAGGTGGCGCCAGTGGAAAAGAACCTGCCTGCCAATGTAGGAGACATTAGAGATACAGATTCGATCCCTGGGTCTGGAAGATCCCCTGCAGGAGGAAATGGCAACCCACTCCAGTATTCTTGCCTGGAGAATCCCATGGACAGAGGAGCCTGGTGGGCTAAAGTCCATATGATTGCAAAGAGTCAGACATGACTGAAGCGATTTAACACACACACACACAGAAAGCATTCATTCTCTGCTAGGTCTTGTTCTAAGGATTAATTTGTTAAGAGAGACCATTTCAGATTTGAAACTGAGGAGTGGACCCGATAGGACCTAGGAGTGCAGAACTGTGGCTAATCCATCCCGTACAATCAGTTATTAAGGAGCTGGTAAAACTGGGTACCTGCTTGGCTCCTGTGTGGGGTTTGTACTTGAGGTTGGTGGGAGACATCTGTGTGCTTCTCTTCGCAGCTATGTCATGCACCATCACACTGTGGCTTGAAAAGGGCCATGGTGGATGCAGTCACACCATGGAGATTGACGGACGTTACAGTGAGGGCTCTCCCGGTCCCTCTTGCCCCAGGACCAGTTTGCCAGCACCCCAACCTAGAGCCCTGAAATATGTCCAGTCCTTCCTCGCCTGTTTAAGGAATCCACTCAACCAGCTCTGATTTAGTACACACTCGTCCAGGCTGCAGGCTCTAAGGTGCTGTGCGAGGCACTGGGGATAAATCAATGAAAACACATAGACCCTGTCTTCACGGAGGTAACGATCTAGCAGTGGAAACAGAACTAATATTAACACAATCCATTCAGTTGCGAGTAACGCCACAAAGGAGAAATATAGGGCCCTGCAGCCCCCTCACCCTGCCCATCTGATCCCAGCTCAGTTCCCTGGCAGTTTTCGTGGTGGAATTGCCCCCACTCTTCTCTCACTGTTCCTGCCTCTAGCCCAGCACTTCCTGTCACTAGCAGGTAACTTCTGCTGTGCCTGGCGGGCCTCTTCCCCGGTCCTCAGACAGGATTTCAGCCTAAGCGGCAGGAACCCAGCCTTAGCAGAATGGTCTTAGCAGAGTCCCCCTCCTCCCCACCTGGCCGGGCCCAGCTCCTGCCACTCTTCTGCTCCCCAGGACATCATGGTTTCCATGGGAACCCACTCACTTCAAAGGGGAACCAAGGAGACTGCAGGGGAGGAGGGAGAGGGAAGGCCGGATTAACCTCACCCTCTTGGCCCGTCTCTGTGGTTGCTGGCAAGCCAAGCCCCAGGTTCCCAACCACCTAACACCGTCCAGCCCACAGCCCACACTGGAGGAGGGGGTGGGGAGGTGTGGTCCAAGCTACATTTTAACTTCTTGTGAGGCGGGCCTGGGGAAGGAGATTTTTGAGCTGGGTCCAAACCTGTGGTCCCCACTCCATGGGGCCTCCCCTCCACAGACCCAGGCTCAGCATTGCTCACGGGCCACAAACACAATTACCCGCGGTGTGCATCTAATCATGGGATCTGCTTGGATTAGACTGCAATCATTAATCTGAGCCCAAGCTCCTGGTTGCCTTGCTGATTAGCCCAGATGATGCTCTGGTATGATCCAATTAAAGACAGGCTCTGCTTCCCCTCTCCCCTGCCACACACACACACACACACACACACACACACACAGAGCTTCCACATCAGAAGGAAACAGTACATTTCATTAACACATCCTCATATACAAATAAAGTGTCAGGGCACTGACCGGCTCCCTCCCTCTCCTGGCACTGTCTCCGACACCCGTCACCCTACCTGGCCAGAGAGGGGCCTCCCCCACACCTCCATTCTTCTATGGACCTGGGAGGGGCCTCGGAGGGGGCTCCCAAAAGTCAGAGCTGGGCACTAATCTCCGTGGAAAGGGTCTGGTTACATTTATTGACATGAAATGCCGACTCCCTGATGTGCTCTGGAGCGCCGCTGCCCCAGGCAGGCAAATCTAATTAGAATTACCCGACCCTGCAGGAGGCGGGGGTGGGGGGGGGGGTGGGGGGGGCCTCCTCCTCCCTGCCCCGCCCCCAACAAGGGCTATAGAGGGGGCGACTGGCACTAATGGGAGAGGTGTGGTTGTGGGAGACAGACACCCTGGGGCCCTGGGGCAGGCAGGGCTGCAGAAAAAAGCAAGGATGCTGACGTCCGTCTGCTCGGTCGTCCTGAGAGGCTGGGTGGCCATGTTTGGCTGGTTCTTGGTGGCATCCGCTTGGGGTTTCTGCTTCACCTTCAGACAGTTGCAGAGATTATTGTGCAAATGCCACGGGCTGTGAGGGGACCCGCCCCACAAAGGTGAGACGTGTTGGTTGAAGGACCATCTGGGCCTCCGTCCATCAGGTGATACCATGATGGACAGTGGGAGGCAGCCCACTTCCTGGCTGGGCCTGGGTAATGCATGACCCTGGGGTCTTGGGAAGGGTTATGGAGCACGTGGGTCCCATTGGTGGGACATAGAGAACCGTCTGCTTTGTGCCAGATGTGGAGCCGGGTGCGGACACGAGTTGTCTCATTATTCTTGCCGAACCAGTGATTAGGTTCTATCGTGAAACTGATGCTGAGATGAGTACCAGGAGGAGGGAGGACATGAGTCTAGGTTTCCAGAAGCTTTACGACACACCAGTAATTGGGGGTCTTTCTAGACTAGGATCGGTGCTCCCTACATGCCCTTGCCCCCTGGAGTCTGGGAAGGGGTCGGGGACCCATCTGCCGTGGGCATGTGAATCAGCCGGGATCTCGTCAAAGAGCAGAACAGGAATCCCAAGGTCAAGCGAGGCCTGAGAGTCAGTGTCTCCAAACAGATCCCAGGGGCTACGATGCTGCCAGTCTGGACCGCACTTGGAGCATGTCGATCACTATCTAAATGAGATGTGATGACTGTACCCCCTCGCATTTCAGAGGCCATGTCACTCCCCTGTCCCTGCTTCTGTTCCCCGCAAGGCACAAGCCCACCCCACAGGTGAACTTATAGACCCCATGCAGCCTGGGGTCCCCACACCCAGCTGCTCTGGCCCCCGGCCGTGCTGGGAACTCACCAGGCTCTCCTCTGCTGGAAGCCCCCACCCCTCCCATTTCTCCTCCTGCTGAGCAGTCTTACTCAGGTTTCAAGATCAAGCGTGAATACTGCCGCCCCGTTGGAGCTGTCTCCGTTAAAGCTCTGACCACTCTGTGCTGGTTTCTTGTTCTCGTCTTCAGAGAGTCTGACTAGAGCCCACACGTTACCTTTATCAGTCACCCTCTTTCTCCTGCGCCCAGCACAGCACTAGTAACAGCAACGATTCAAAGCCAAGGTGACAGGAGGACAGGAGTACTTACTGGTCTGTGTTGGGGGAGGGCGAGCTGGGGTCCTTCTCAGGGTCTCTGACTGGCCCCATGACACCAGATCCAGGCATTCTTCAGAGCCCAAGGCTCTGTGCACAAGTCTCTATGCACAGGAGCTGGGCCTGGCCTGTGTGTGTGTGTCTGGGGGTAGGGGGGTGGTCCTCGGGGGGCAGGCACTGTGTTATCCAGGCCTGGGAAGAACCTTGAGTCAGGATCTAGGGATCAGGGCCCATTGCTCTGGACTCCCAACTGTCGGCATTAAAGGCATTCAGCCCATCTGAGGGACTACAGGTAGTGCCACGGATAATTATGATAACAGCAAAAATTACGACCATTACCATAAAGCCACTATCAGGACTGGGGGCAGGGAGTGGGGGGCGGTGAGGAAGGACTCAGTCCTCTGATTCCCCCTGGGTGGGCCAGTCTGAGTGCGGGTGGCCTTAGTGTGCACTGCAGGGCTCGCCCAGTGGAGGTCAATGGTGCTGATGCTCATGGCTGTACGTGCCCACACAAGTGAATGCAACACGGGTTTGACCTCAGTACTGATGCCTCCATACTTGGGCATCTTTCTTAGTGATGTGGGCTCCCCATGGATAAGTGATGACTGAAATCCCTGCCAGGGCCTCATCAGATCTGCCTTCCGAGGACCGCATCTTGGCCTCATCAGATCTGCCTTCCGAGGACCGCATCTTCACCTCACCCACGTACATAAGACAGGCCGGAAAGTCCCTGAGCCCCTCCCACCCTCTGCAACAATCAGGGCCCAGCCCTGGGTGCCAGGGGCTAATGCAGACTAAAACGAGACAAGCGGCCTGCTCCCTGCAAATGGCCCCTCTTGGGGAGGGTGTCAGAACCTCTACCATCACGTACAACCTCTACTGCTGAAAACCAAAGTCGACCGTGAATCACAGCATGGGCCAAGCAGTAGCTGCATTAGATTCACCTGGAATGCTTATTAAAAATTCATGTCCTCTTCCTACAGCTTGACCTACTGATTCAGCATTTCCGAGCAGAGTCCATGCGTGTTCTAACAAGCCTCCCAGCGGCTTTCAGGTGGACTCAAGTTTGCTCACGACCGAGTCCTGGATGGTGCGTGTTGGAGTGAAGGTGACAATAGGCACTGGGGCCTGGACAGTCCTGAGGCAGCTCTGAGCAGTGGTGGGGGTGGGGGCATTCTGATGCTCATCGGGACTCCTCTCCCCAGCTGGCAGCGGAGGGCTCCTCCTGGAATACATAGCCCAGGCAGCATTTCCCTCCCTGGATGATTCCAGGAATATGGAGCCCACCCTGCATGGCCAGCTGAGGGCTCTCTGGGGTGATTTCAGATGGAGGCAGGGAGAGAACAGCCCTGGCTACTGGCTCCCATGAGCCCACCCTCGGGCCTGCACTCTCATCTCTCATGGCTGAGCTGGGCCTGAGGCTACCTGGGGGCTTCTGAGTGTGGCCTGGCCCGAGTGTCTCCTACCTGTATACAGCACGCTTGTCGGCCTCCAGCTGGGCCTGCGGGTCAATGGGGGCGGTGGGCACGGGCGTGCTGGCAGCAGCCGAGGGCGTGGAGATGTGGACAGCCTGGGCCTTAGAGGGGGCTTGAGCGGTCGCCGTCATCTGCAGAGACAAGAGAGAGGAGGTGTGGGTTAGTGGGCCAGGACCGCTGGTTCCCCGGCCGGAACCGTGAGGTCTACCTCGTCCCGTGTTGTGTGTGTGGATAAGAGAAAGTGTACAGAGTAATGTCAGCGTATAATGAGCACCCATGTGTCCATGTGCTACCGTGGGCAGAGAGAGGGTGTTTCTTCAAAGCAGAAAGTTCTGGAGAATGAAAAGTTCTGGACCATCCAAAACCAAGTGATGCTGAAGTGAGCTCACTTTAAAAGCCATAGTTCTTAATGCAAATTAAGGTGGTGGCCTCTGCCCAGAAGCTGGGGAGAAAAAAAAAAACGGAATGATGAGCCCTTTAAATTTCGCTTACGAGTCACTTGGGCTGAACTGAGCAGTGCTGCGTTTGATTCTATGACTTTGGAGGGCAGGAAAAAATTAGCTGAGTCAGTTCTCAATTGGGCAAAGATTTATTCCATTTAACGTAAGCCAGAGGTAACTGTTTTAATGGTTTTGATTGATAACTGAGTGTTCTGCAAATTTTGGTTTACCTGGGCACTGGAAGATAAGCAGGTTTTAGTGGACAATGAGCAGATTTCTGTTTTCAACTCTAACGAATATTTAGAGTAGTAGTTTTCCTCCTAGGTTACATGCTTTGGAAGGTGTCCCAAGTTTATGTCAATCAGAACACCTTTTAAAAATATATTGGACTTTCTGTATAAGATCTCATTTGAAGAAATGATTAAATGGCTTTAAATTTTTTGGCAACCATCATTACAGAACTTAATGCCTTTATTTTCTTTGATTAAATGGATCCCTGAAACATCATGTGTGGTGATAAGCCTCGACTGTTCCCTTCCTCCAGCCCATCTACAGTGCCTCACAGCTCTCATTCCCTCTGCTCTTGGGACTTGACATCCCTGTCTGCCTCTCGAGATAACACTTTGTTCACCCCTTCATCCCCAGCACGCAATTGGCACAGAGTGAATGCTTGGTATGTGTTGAGAAGATGAATGAGGGAATAAAGAGTGAACACACCTTGAAAGAATCAGATGTTTTACAGCTGGAAAGCTCATCATATGATCTAGGTCCCTGCTTTCTAAAAGAGAGTATGGTATTTCCACGAATTCATTATTGGTGGTGCCAGAGGCCGCCAAACACTCTCTGTCTAAGCTTCTTCATTAGATCTGTCAGATGCCACATCTTCAGAGTAAAATAGAGTCCCTCTGCCCCTTTCTCTCCCCTTGCTCTGCCTCATTTCACAGCCCTTATCATGACCATATATTTCACAACCCTTGGACTAGACACTACACTACTTGCTATTTTCTCTCCCACCTCCAACTCAAATTTAAGCTCAAAGAGGGCTGATTAACAGTTGCATTTGCAGGGCCTAGAATAGTCTAGCACTAATTGATGTTCAACAAATATTTATTGAATGAATGAGTGACTGATGGTAAATAAAATTGAGACTATAAAAGAAATGTACTGTCTCCTCATCATTTTTTGTTAAGTAGAGATAGTCTTGTCTCTGTTGGCTGAGCTGGGGGAGCTTTCTCAAACTCAGTGCTAACAGGCTAGACAAGAACATCACGGTACCTTGAGGCAAGCAAGGTACCACACTTGACTCCTACTGTCTCCTGTTAATAGCTTTTTGACTTAGAGCAAAGCCCTCAGCTTTCCTAACCTCCTACTTTCTCATCTGTAAGCAAACCGGTGTCCTTTTAGGATTCATGGGTATTAGGGCTGCAGTCTATGGGGCCACAGTCAGACCCAACTGGGTGATTGGGCATGCACAGCAAGGGAGAAAGTAGAAACAAATGCTGTTCTAATCTTCAAAATACAGAAATAAGGTGGAATCAGAAATGCTAAATACTTCTAAACTTCACATTGACTCGGACCATTATTTTTTCACTCACTAATGCAACTGATTATTTTCCCAATACTTCTTGAGTCCCCACTGGGTACTAGACACTGGGGTGGCTAGGAGAATGCCTGCTACAATAGTGCCCACTTACTGGGTTTAACATGCTAAAGAGCAGGAGGATGTAGTAGACAGAGATGCCGTAAATGACCTCCCCTGATTTCCTCATGGAAAACGTCGAGATACGGCCCGGTGGACAACTGTGTGGATTATTAGGAAGCTATACCCAAAGGATGACAATGAAAGGAGAGATGTCAGTAGGAGAAAGACTTCTGGGAAAGGCTACATTCTTTCTCCTCAACCCTCTTCCTCAATATTTTAGTCAGTGATTTAGAAGAGATCTGAAAAAACACTTGACAAATTTATGGGTGACATGAAACCTGGATCCAAATGATTTTTACAGATTTTGGCAATGTACTAATTCTAATAAGATTAATTCTTATCTAGTAAGTTGGAATTTAAACTTCTAACACTTTGGCCAGAAAAAAAGATCGATAATATAAGTACAGAACAGGGGAGATGTGGTTTAGCAGCATGCTTCAGTTGACAGCAGGCTCAGTCTATCCAAAGTGTAACATGTCTGTCAAACAAACAAACCACTATACTGATGCTCTGTGAGGACCCATGAGCAGAGGCGTGGCTCATGCAGAGCTTCCAACCCCACACACTAAGCTGAGAGGGTGCATGAAGGTATACTCAGAGGGGAGTGGACCAGGCTGCTGAAGGGATTCTGAGGAATATTTGCAGGCATCTGCAATGCTAAGAAAGATCTGGGGGAATGGGCGGGAGATGGAGGGACACGTGAGACCCCTTTGAATCCCTGAACCAGGGGTTAGATTGTGTAAGTTCTGTACTGTGTGCTCAAAAGTGTCAAACTACAACCGATGCATCAAACCTGCAAAACATAAAGCACATTTGGGCTCGACCCAAATAGTAAGTTTCCAAGCCTCTGAGCTCTCCAAGGCTGGGAGGCACTGCCTCCAGGAAGTTGCTTCCACTGGCACAGCGGCCAAGCAGAGACTCACCTGGAGATGGTGGAAGCTCCCTAGCTGGCTGGGCTGGCTTAGGTGCTATCTGAAAAAGCACCTTCTTTTCAAAAAAATTTATGTGTTTATTTTTGGCTGCACTGGGTCTTGCTGTGCGGGGTCTTTCTCTCGTCGCGGCTAGCAGGGGCAGCTCTCTAGTTGTGCGAAGGTTTCTCATTGTGGTGGCTTCTCCTGTTGCGGAGCACGGGCTCTAGGGTGCAGACTCAGTAGTTGTGCTGCCTGGGCTTTCAGTAGTTACGACACACGGGCTCAGTTGCCCCACGGCACGTGGGATCTTCCCGGACCAGAGACTGAACCCATATCCCCTGCATTGGCAGGCAGATTCCCAACCCCTGGACCATCAGGGAAGTCCGGGAGCCCCTTCTATTAATAGCGGTGAGAGGCTTGGATGCCATGAGGATGCTTATACCATCACTACCCACCCCCAGCGATGGCACGTTGCTCCCATTAGATGACGTACAGTATGTAAAAGTGCTTTGGAAACTCTAAAGTTTTTCCCACATGGAGGGTGGTTGTAGTTATTAAACACAAGATTTCCAGAACATGTATCTTGCAAAAAGCAAGGCACAGCTATGTGCACGGCTCGTTCAAGAGCAAAATACACGTGGACTGGTGTGCTCTGCTCGGCTTGGCCCTGTAAGGGTGAATTTCCTTGTGTCCTTGAAGGAATGCACAAGGGGCCCCTATGCAGATGAGCTTCTAGGAGCGTGAGGGTTGAGGGGAGGGGCTCCTTTTCCTCTGACCTCCCATTTCTAGGCAGGACTTCAGGGAAAAATGGGGCAGAAAGGCCTGCTGGGGTCTAGAGGAAAGCGTAAATCAAAAGCAGTCATTGCCAGCACCCCAAGAGGCTCTAGTTGAGAGGCTGTTGTTGGGGCTCGGAGAGCCGGGGAGCTGGCCTGAGGACGACGATGATTCAGATTTATTTAGCTCCTGGGGGTCAAGTCAGCAAACTCGACATTTCCTCCAGGTTTGGAGAATGAGTGTTTATCTCCAAATAGATTTCTTTTTCTAGCCAGAGACACCAGTTTCTCAAGAACCAGAGCGCAGAGGGAAGAGGCCCATAGCTGTCCCAGGGCCCGGGAGCAGGGGGAAGAGGGTGTTGGGTGGTGAGATTTTGGCAGGAGGTTCTGGCCCTAAAAAAGAGAAGCTGTTGGGAGAGATTGCACGGATGGAGGGCAGAGATCCCTTGCTCTGGTCAGCAAAGGCCAAATGATAATTTTTCGGGAATTTTGCAAGTTTGATAATCACATTAACAGCTTGACAGTGGCCATGGTGGGAGCAATCACACCATGGAGACTGACAAATGTTGCAAATCAAATCCTTTCCCCAAACCCACCCTGAGAGCCAGTTGTTAAATATTTACCAGCACATCCCTAACATCAGAGTTTCTCTCCAGGTAAGTTTCTTTTGTTCTGTAGTGAAGAGACTACACTCTCTGAGGCCACTTGGTATGTCCCCAGCGGGTCCCAGAAGTGGCCACTTCAGCCTAGGAGCCCTCCTCCAAGGAAAGCTCTGGACATCCCACCCAGACAGGCTGTGATCCTTGATTACGAAAGCAGGGGACTTCCCTGGTGGCTCGGGGTTAAGAATCCACCTTCCAATGTAGGGGACGTGGGTTCCATCCCTGGTTGGGGAACTGAGATTCCCACATGCCGAAGGGCAACTAAGCCCATGCGCCACAACTACCAAGACCACGAGCCGCAATGAAAGGTCCCGCACGCTGCAACTAAGACCCAACACAGCCAAATAAATAAATATTTTTTAAAAAGAGGGAGAGATCTGGATACAAAGAGCGGATGGGGACGGGTGACAGCATTCTCCAGAGGTCTGTCCGTGGTGAGCTGCACCGCTGAGCCCAGAACCTACACACAGGCTTCCACGGTCCCCGTCGCCTCTCCTAGCATCCCACAGATGTTCTGACTCGCCAGACTCTCCTCTATCAACTAGCTCCGACCCAGCCCTGCATTGATCCTGGAGCTAAAGGTCCCTGCCCAGTTTCTCCATTTGTGACACGGTGAGATGCAAGTTCCTGATGCCCCAGCCCC